CATATAATTTAATCACCTATAATGTCTTGGGTAACTCCATTATAATTTAATCACATATTAAGTAATGTGTAAGTCCCTATAAGTTATTCACCGATAATGTCTTGTGTAATTCCTTATATAAGTCAATCACCCATAATGTCTTGTGTAAGCCCTTATAATTTAATCTCCTATAATGTCTTGTGTAAGTCCTTATATAAGTTAATCACATATAATATCTTGTGTAAGTCCTTAAAATTTAATCACCTATAATGTCTTGTGTAAGTCCTTATATAAGTTAATCACCTATAATGTCTTGTGTAAGTCCTTATAATTTAATCTCATATAATATATTGTGTAAATCCTTATATAAGTTAATCACCTATAATATCTTTTGTAACTCCTTTTAAGTTAATCACCTATAATGTCCTGTGTAAGTCCTTAAAATTTAATCACCTATAATGTCTTGTGTAAGTCCTTATAATTTAATCACCTATAAAGTCATGTGTAAGTCATTATAAGTTATTCACCGATAATGTCTTGTGTAATTCCTTATATAAGTTAATCACCCATAATGTCTTGTGTAAGTCCTTATAATTTAATCTCCTATAATGTCTTGTGTAAATCCTTATATAAGTTAATCACCTATAATATCTTGTGTAACTCCTTTTAAGTTAATCACCTATAATGTCCTGTGTAAGTCCTTATAATTTAATCACCTATAATGTCTTGTGTAAGTCCTTATATAAGTTAATCCCCTATAATGTCTTGTGTAAGTCCTTATAATTTAATCTCGTATAATATCTTGTGTAAATCCTTATATAAGTTAATCACCTATAATATCTTGTGTAACTCCTTTTAAGTTAATCACCTATAATGTCCTGTGTAAGTCCTTATAATTTAATCCCCTATAATGTCTTGTGAAAGTCCTTATAATTTAATCACCTATAATGTCTTGTGTAAGTCCTTTTATAAGTTAATCACCTATAATGTCTTGTGTAAGTCCTTATAAATTTATCACCTATAATGTCTAATGTAAGTCCTTATATAAGTTAATCACATATAATGTCTAGTTTAAGTCCTTATATAAGTTAATCACATATAATATCTTGTGTAAGTCCTTATATAAGTTAATCACCTATAATATCTTGTGTAAGTCCTTACATAAGTTAATTACCTACTATATCTTGTGTAAGTCCGTATAATTTAATCACCTATAATATCTTGTGTAAGTCCTTATAAGTTAATCACCTATAATATCTTGTGTAAGTCCTTATAAGTTAATCACCTATAATGTCTTGTGTAAGTCCTTATAATTTAATCACCTATAATGTCTTGTGTAAGTCCGTATATAAGTTAATCACCTATAATATCTTGTGTAAGTCCTTATAATTTTATCACCTATAATGTCTTGTGTAAGTCCTTCTAAGTTAATCACCTATAAAGTCTTGTGTAAGTCCATATAATTTAATCACCTATAATGTCTTGTGTACGTCCTTATAATTTAACCACCTGTAAGTCATGTTTAAGTCCTTTTAAGTTAATCACCGATAATGTCTTGTGTAAGTCCTTATATAAGTTAATCACCCATAATGTCTTGTGTAAGTCCTTATAATTTAATCTCCTATAATGTCTTGTGTAAGTCCTTATATAAGTTAATCACCTATAATATCTTGTGTAAGTTCTTATAAGTTAATCACCTATAATGTCTTGTGTAAGTCCTTATAATTTAATCACCTATAATGTCTTGTGTAAGTCCTTATATAAGTTAATCACCTATAATGTCTTGTGTAAGTCCTTATAATTTAATCTCATAAAATATCTTGTGTAAATCCTTATATAAGTTAATCACCTATAATATCTTGTGTAACTCCTTTTAAGTTAATCACCTATAATGTCCTGTGTAAGTCCTTAAAATTTAATCACCTATAATGCCTTGTGTAAGTCCTTATAATTTAATCACCTATGATGTCTTGTGTAAGTCCTTTTATAATTTAATCACCTATAATGTCTTGTGTAAGTCCTTATAAGTTAATCTCCTATAATGTCTAGTGTAAGTCCCTATATAAGTTAATCACTTATAATGTCTTGTGTAAGTCCTTTTATAAGTTAATCACCTACTATATCTTGTGTAAGTCCGTATAATTTAATCACCTATAATATCTTGTGTAAGTCCTTATTAGTTAATCACCTATAATATCTTGTGTAAGTCCTTCTAAGTTAATCACCTATAATGTCTTGTGTAAGTCCATATAATTTAATCACCTATAATGTCTTGTGTAAGTCCTTATATAAGTTAATCACCTATAATATCTTGTGTAAGTCCTTATAATTTTATCACCTATAATATCTTGTGTAAGTCCTTAAAATTTAATCACCTATAATGTCATGTGTAAGTCCTTATAAGTTAATCACCTTTAATGCCTTGTGTAAGTCCTTATACAAGTTAATCACCTATAATGTCTTGTGTAAGTCCTTATATAAGTAAATCACCTATAATGTCTTGTGTAATTCCTTATATAAGTTAATCACCTATAATATCTTGTGTAAGTCCATATAATTTAATCACCTATAAAATCTTGTGTAAGTCCTTATATAAGTTAATCACCTATAATGTCTTGTGTAAGTCCTTATAATTTAATCACCTATAATGTCTTGTGTATGTCCTTATAAGTTAATCACCTATAATGTCTTGTGTAAGTCCTTATCAGTTAATCACCTATAATGTCTTGTGTAAGTCCTTATATAAGTTAATCACCTATAATGTCTTGTGTAAGTCCTTATAAGTTAATCTCCTAAAAGTCTTGTTTAAGTCCTTATCAGTTAATCACCTATAATGTCTTGTGTAAGTCCATATATACGTTAATCACCTATATTGTCTTGTGTAAGTTCTTATATAAGTTAATCTTGTGTAAGTCCTTATAAGTTAATCTCCTATACTGTCTTGTGTAAGTCCTTATACGTTAATCATCTATAATGTCTTGTGTAAGTCCTTATAAGTTAATCACCTATTAAGACTTGTGTAAGTCCTTATAATTTAGTCTCCTATAATGTCTTGTGTAAATCCTTATACAAGTTAATCACCTATAATATCTAGTGTAAGTCCGTAAAACTTAATCACCTATAATGTCTTGTGTAAGTCCTTATATAAGTTAATCACCTATAATATCTTGTGTAAGTCCTTATATCAGTTAATCACCTATAATATCTTGTGTAAGTCCTTATATATGTTAATCACCTATAATATCTTGAAGTCCGTATAATATAATCACCTATAATATCTTGTGTAAGTCCTTATATAAGTTAATCACCTATAATGTCTTGTGTAAGTTCTTATAATTTAATCTCCTATAATGTCTTGTGTAAGTCCTTATACAAATTAATCACCTATAATGTTTGTGTAAGTCCTTATATAAGTTAATCACCTATAATGTCTAGTGTAAGTCCTTATATAAGTTAATCACCTATAATGTCTCGTGCAAGTCCTTATATAAGTTAATCACCTGTAATATCTTGTGTAAGTCCGTATAATTTAATCACCTATAATATCTTGTGTAAGTCCTTATAAGTTAATCACCTATAATATCTTGTGTAAGTCCATATATAAATTAATCACCTATAATATCTTGTGCAAGTCCGTATAATTTAATCACCTATAATATCTTGTGTAAGTCCTTATAAGTTAATCACCTATAATGTCTTGTGTAATTCCTTATAATTTAATCACCTATAATGTCTTGTGTAAGTCCTTATATAAGTTAATCACCCATAATATCTTGTGTAAGTCCTTATAAGATAATCACCTATAATGTCTTGTGTAAGTCCTTATAAGTTAATCACCTATAATGTCTTGTGTAAGTCCATATAGTTAAATCACCTATAATGTCTTGTGTAAGTCCTTATAATTTAATCACTTAAAAAGTCATGTGTAAGTCCTTATATGTTATTCACCGATAATGTCTTGTGTAATTCCTTATATAAGATAATCACCCATAATGTCTTGTGTAAGTTCCTATAATTTAATCTCCTATAATGTCTTCTGTAAGTCCATATATAAGTTAATCACATATAATATCTTGTGTAAGTCCATATAATTTAATCACCTATAATGTCTTGTGTAAGTCCTTATATAAGTTAATCACCTATAATGTCTTGCGTAAGTCCTTATAAATAATCACCTATAATGTCTTGTGTAAGTCATTAAAAGTTAATCACCTATAATGTCTTGTGTAAGTCCTTATAAGTAAATCACCTATAATGTCTTGTGAAAGTCCTTATAAGTTAATCACCTATTATATCTTGTGTAAGTCCTTATAAATTTATCACCTATAATGTCTTGTGTAAGTCCTTATAAGTTAATCACCGATAATGTCTTGTGTAAGTCCTTATAAGTTAATCACCTATAATGTCTTGTGTAAGTCCTTGTCAGTTAATCACCTATAAAGTCTTGTGTAAGTCCTTATCATTTAATCACTTATAATGTCTTGTGTAAGTCCTTATAAGTTAATCACCTATAATGTCTTGTGTCAGTCCTTATCAGTTAATCACCTATAATGTCTTGTGTAAGACCTTATATAAGTTAATCACCTAATATGTCTTGTGTAAGTCCTTATATAAGTTAATCACCTATAATGTCTTTTGCAAGTTCTTATATAAGTTAATCGCCTATAATGTCTTGTGTACTGTAAGTCCTTATAAGTTAATCTCCTAAAAGTCTTGTTTAAGTCCTTATCAGTTAATCACCTATAATGTCTTGTGTAAGTCCTTATATAAGTTAATCACCTATAATGTCTTGTGTAAGTTCTTATATAAGGTAATCACCTATAATGTCTTGTGTAAGTCCTTATAAGTTAATCACCTGCATCAAAAAGACAGTAAAGTAAAAAATGTAACGCAAGTCCTTATAGTCAGCTGTAAGTTGGGTACATACAGTAGTAAGTCTTAAAATGTAAAACAACCTCAGCTTATGATTCGACACCATCACCATAATACTAACATAGGCCTTTGAACCCCTGCAGTGATGGAGACGACACCTCCCAAATACCGGTCTGTCGTGGGGATATTTATGGGAATACCTTACGGCTTATTCCTGGTCGTCTTCGCCATCTCTGGCTACTTCGTCAGGGAGTGGCGCTACCTCCAGCTGATATGTGCCTTACCTGTCTGCCTCATACTGCTTTGCTATCTGTGAGTATTATTTTTCTATCTATGAGTGTAACCATCTATGTATTTTACCATCTGTCTATGAGTATTACCATCTATCTATGAGTACAACCATCTATTTATGAGTAATGTTTACGCTTGTTGTGGCAGGACCTTGAATGAGTCACCCCGCTGGCTGGCACAACACGGCCGTGGGAAGGAGGCGGCAGAGCTGTTAGTAAGAGCTTCGGAGTATAACCGCTCACCCATTCCGGGCACCTTCAAGCCTTTTCTCGACAAACTCAGAAAGGTGAGCACTGTCGAGCTACGAGAGAGAGAGAGAGAGAGAGAGAGAGAGAGAGAGAGAGAGAGAGAGAGAGAGAGAGAGAGAGAGAGAGTTACCTGAAGTTTAGCCCCCATTTTGTTTTACTGAAAGCATTAAATTAATATAATGTCTCCTTTTTTATATAGTTTCAGTGTAATATAATATTATCTGTGAGCTGAAAACAAGGAGTATACACCATTATATATTTATATCAAGTTTTAACATAATTATTGGGTAACGTGGGACTTTTTGTTGATTGTATACATGTCCAAAGTTTATTATATTCACAGCAGTCACAGGAACCGCCAACCAGCCCGCAGGAAGTCCAGGGTCAGCAGTCCCCCAAAGAGGCCGCCAGTAAGCGTTTGGTAGAGAAGATGAAAGCCATGTGTCAGTACTTCAGGTCCCCAGCCATGTTAGTGATTATGTTGGTGACACCTCTGATGTGGTTCCTGGTAAACATCATCTTCTTCGCCATAACACTCAATGCTAATAACTTCACGAGGTATAAAAAAAACTCTCTCTCTCTCTCTCTCTCTCTCTCTCTCTCTCTCTCTCTCTCTCTCTCTCTCTCTCTCTCTCTCTCTCTCTCTCTCTCATATACCCCATCATTCACTGTAGCTTCCTTTATACTATGCGGAAAAAAACTGTATATCACATAATCAGTTCACGAAAGCCTAGTTTTAATGTTTATTTACAAACCGTTCGACGCATAATTTATAATCATAAACACTTAAGTCGATTGAAACAAGATGGCTTTTAGAATCTACTTTCCATTGTTGTCTTTTAATACCTAAAATTTTCCTCTTGTCCAGCACCAGCCCTTTTTTCTACGTGGGGTTACTAGGGGCCCTGCAGGCCATAGCCTACCTGGCCACAATACCCGCAAACCACAAATTGGGCAGACGAAAAATAATAGGCGGAGGTGGTTTTTTGAGTGCTGTGTTCATACTACTCGACATGGTTGTTCCCCCAGGCAAGTTATCTGTTATTGTTTATATATATGTATATATATATGTATATATATATATATATATATATATATATATATATATATATATATATATATATATATATATATATATATATATATATATATATATATATATATATATATATATCCTGGAGTCAGAAACATTGATATCAGTAAAATCGTTATTACAGGTTACCATAGATTCAGCATGTATGTAGACAATGCAGGTACAGTATACAGTTCAGCATGTATATATAAACAATGCAAGTATACAGTTCCGCATGTATATATAAACCTGATGACTCACAGATTTTCGGACAATCTGCCTCTCCCTTTAAACATAATTATTGGATGTGTTTCAGATATGTCGTGGTTGAGATGGGTCTTCGTTATGGCTGCCTTCTGCCTGGGGTCCGGAGCCTATCAGGTTAGTTCACATAGTGCATCTTATTCTTGTTCCATGCACCTACAGTGGAACTTTCTATTTAACGAATTATGTGCAGAGGTGGGAGGAGGGAGTCCATATTAGATAGAGATTCATTCCGTTAGATGCTAGACCTCCATTTAACGGACTTTATATAGCGAAAGAAGTCCGTTTATTCGAGCTGGTACAATATAACCATTATGTCGAGGTCTGTTATATGGAGGTTTCACTCTATCTATCTATCTATCTCTATACATATACAGGAAAATGTTGGGTTTGCGTACAACTTAGGGATTCAATTACTTGCAGACGATCGCCATGTATACCAGTGAGCTCTTCCCGACCAGTATCAGGGTTCGAGGTACAGCTGTGTGCGTCTCCATGGCGGGTGTCGGTTGTGTCATAGTCCCCGTGGTCACTGATGTCCTGGTGAGTGGCTGCCTTACCTATCCCGTCCTGACTTGGCCTAATCTAGTCTTAACCTACACGAAAGCGCTTGGGAACTTCGTGTTTTCTTCTTTCCTTGTGGTTATCAGCATATACCTAGATCACGCGCACCTACAGTGATTTACTTGCATATATAGCCAATGCAGATATACAATGTACATATACAGTGCATGCCTACAGTGTACTTAGGCGGTACATGTTTACAAACAATAGTCATTTTCTCAAGCTGAAAGACTAAAAAAGCTAAAAAAAATAATATATGCCGGTACACTAATAGGCCATATGTAAGTAATCACTCACTGAACTTACGCTTCATATTCTTGACACAGGCGCAGAAGGTGTGGTGGTCGCCGGGGGTGACGATTGCCGGGTCGGGATTCTTATTAAGCTTAGTCGTTTCCTTCCTGCCTGAAACCAACCTAAAGCCTATGCCCGAGACTCTCCAAGATGTTGAAGACCGAATTAAGACCAACAACTCCTCCACAACACCACACTCATTCCCCCAAGAACCTCCACTCGACCTCTCGTCGACCAAGGAGCAACTAGCATAAAGAGAATCGTCCAAGGAGCAACTAGCCTGAAGAGAATCGTCCAATGAGCAATTAGCATGAAGAGAATCGTCCAAGGAGCAATTAGCCTGAAGAGAATCATCCAAGGAACAACTAGCATAAAAAGTATTGTCCAAGGAGCAACTAGCATAAAAAGTATCGTCCAAGGAGCAACTAGCCTCCAGAGAAATACTGCACTATTTCTAAATATTCGTATGACAATTTACTCAATAATTATCACATAACAGTGTGTTGGTGTTATGATTCTAAACTTTCTGTATCCTGAATATAGACATATGTACGACTTAATAAAGAAACTAGATCATGTAATGTACAGTAGGGGAGAGCGGTGATGGTTCGGCCACTTTTTCGTAAAATATTTATTGAGTTAAATAATGTATGCAGACAAATTGTACCGTCGCCAAAATGTTGCCTTATCCTTTGGCTCTTCTGTCTGTAAAATGTAAATATTTAGCTCTGTTAGTTTTGGAAGAGGAAGGTAATTATTAGAGGTATCTCAAACGGCCGAAAAATCCCCCTATGGGGGATTGGTTATAAAACACAAACGTTACGTTAGAAGCTGGTACGGTGCAGCCTGACTGATCTGTATACACCTTGGGCTGCCCTGGTGGTGTAAGAATCTGTGTGTGTGCAAGACTCGCGTTCAATAATACTGTGCTGGAGAGAGGAGACTAATATAACACCTTCAACGTGAACTCTTAACAAAATGTTAATTGGTTACCTACGGACGAGGTACAGTAGGTTCAAATGACTGTGCTCCGGGAGACAGTAAATACTGTACCATTTATTAACTTCAAACAATCAAAGATTAATATCAACATTTCTGTACATATAATTA